ATAATGATTAAAACGCTCTGATGAATGTATGAAACTTAGAAAAAAAGGGGGAAATCAAAATGATCTTATAAAAATAAATAAATAATATCCAGAGTCTGATGGATGCCATAAAAATGAGTAATTATTTAAGAGTATTTTATCTAAAAAAAATACAAAATCAGCAAAACAGATTACACTTTACTTAGCAAATCATTAATCATTTTTAGATTACATAATATTCTACTTTGAAATAATGAGTACGATGTTTCATGCTGATACAAACGAAACTATATAGATCTACCTTTTATCTTTATTTCTGTGTCTTCTGAAAATACACTACCCCAAAATTCATAACAGACATTATCGAGACCATAGGATTGTAGCAGGGGCATCTACTGAGTTATCATAAAATGACATCAGAAATTGCTTTTGCAAACTCCATAATGATTTCTTTTGTTAAAGTAGTTTGGCAACAGCAAGAAAGATTAGAATAATGTTTTTATTTCCTTAAGTGTGTAAGCAAATAAAATTTGGCTTTCTTAAGCAAGAAAATGTAATTGTTTATTTAAAATATTTCTTTTCAAGTGTTATAGAATGGAATCAGATTTAATTTAAAGGCGAGAACGACTAAATGAAATAATATTCAGGTAGATTCAAGCAACAGCCTAGTTTTTTAATATTTTCGTATGCGGAAGCCCTCCAAATCTGCCGGTGTTGTGAAGAACAACTGCAATCAAAAGCTACGGACGCCTTTCAAGTCATTCAAACGAACTACAAGTTCTCCAGATGAATGAAACAAGCATTTATTCAGTTAAAATTCGGTGCTACTTTGTAGACGGTTGCACGGATTTTTGGCGATTTACGTTGGCGCAATTGTTGGCGCGATTTCTACAAACGTCAGCCATCTTGAAAAACGCTGTTTTTACGCATAGTAAAGTATTCGAAACTAAAAAAAAAAAAAAAAAAAAAAAAAAAAATCGTTAGAAATAATGGATTAATTTTTTTTGTTGAAAATGTCGTTTTTTAAGATGGCAGGCAAGTGTAAATAAATAAATTTACTATGAGTATAAAATACTAAAGTAAGGTTATTATTACTTTCATATAGCAAAGAAGAGAATAAAAACACCGCTATAAAAACATTGTGCCAACGTTTAATTAGATTAAAATATTACTGAAATTGAATATCGAAATAAAAAACATCATCCAACATTTAAAAGAATTAGAATATTATTAAATTTAAAATACTTTAAAATACGTTATATAGAATATAATATATATATATATATATATTATATAGAATAAATACATTTACTACGAGTATAAAATACTAAAGAAAGGTTAAATTATTACTTTCATATAGCATAGAAATAGAATAAAAATACCACTATAAAAACATTGCGCAACGTTTAATTGGATTAAAATATTACGTAAATTGAATATCGAATTAAAAAACCATCATACCAACGTTTAAAAGAATTAAAATATTACTTAAATTAAATACTTTAAAATAAGTAAATAAGAACGCTTCGTACACTAGAGCTAAAATGACAGCAATTAGTTTATTGTTGGTAAAAAAGGAGGAATGTCTAATAATTTTCTTACCGTTACAGCGGTTATTTCTTCCAACATGACCACAATATCATATAAGGCCGTCTCAGAATCGGCTCTTCTAACGGTCTTCATCTGTGATCTACATTTTCGCACTTCATTGAAGAAACAATTAGCGACGTTTCCTTCAAAAATTTAAAATAAATTTCCTCTGACCCTTGTAAGAATTTATAAATAAATCTTTGGCGGCGAAAATAAGGTCTCAAAGGACAATTTTTGATTCCGAAACCAAAAAATTCTTGGTACTTATCAAAAAACAACATTCATCTTTGAAGGAGACATTTTTGAAGAAATTCGAAAATATGAATTAAATTTTAAAATGGCGCGGTAATGCACAAGTTTTCAGCAACCTATCAGGGAGCTGATTACAGCTCATTAATGCACAAATATTCTAAAACCAATCAGAGAGCTGATTACATCACGCCTAGAATTAAAATTATTTAAATAATCATACATAATAAAATCATTTAAAAAAAGAAATGCAAAATTAAATTGTATTTTAATATTTAACAGCCATAAATAATGTTTAAAACATTAGATTAAATTTATAGATATTAAAACCAATTACTTTTAAAGTCATAGCTGACTGTCACAGCTGTGTTTTAAAGTAAGGTGACGTCACTGATTACATCATCCACAGCATAAAATTTCATAAAATATGATAAAGAATAAAATTTTTATTTCAAATAAAAATGCAAAATTAAATTGATTTTTAATATTTAGAAGCCATATAAATAATATTTAAAACACGGAATTTATGCATAATAAAGTGCATTATTTTTTAAATAAAATGTCAACAAAGTATCGGTTACCATAAATAACTTATCCAGCAATGGGTTTACCATAAGTCGTATTACTCGCCAAAAGAAAAATTGCCAAAAACTCGCCAAAATCCGTGCAACCGTCTACCAAAGTAGCACCTAAAATTCAGCCTTAAATTAGCATTGCTAACATAAACAACATCAAAATAAGCTGAGAATACTGCATTCTAAACATTACGTAAAAACGAAAGCATATTTTACTTGAAAACAATAATGATTGTTGCCATTCAACAAAAAGGAAAGTAATAACGAAACCATAAGTAGAACTTCATAGGTGAAGTAGTAGTTAAGTTTAAATAACGATGTTAATTATTGTACAATTGTAATTATTGTACAAGTGTTGAGGCACCTCTAGGCTCTGCTGCCATGCAACAGATCCAGAATCGTGCCACAGGACACAAAAGCACAATCGCTGTACTTCATTTGTGCTAACAGATTGCGACACGAGTGAGCAACACTATACTCAAAATCACAAGAAAACATAACGCTTTACGATCAAAACAGAATCAATTATTTCCCAAACGGTGATCCCAACATGGTTTTCGGAACAGAGCGCATGGTGCTCTTGCACCATGCAGAAAAATTTTACAATTTCTGCAGTCAACTTCAGACAGCAAAATGTAGGACTCATAGAGATTGTACCTGGAGACAAAATGCCTAATGAGGGCCCTGTTTTCGAACAAAGCTGGAAATGCAGATGGACTTTCTTTAATTAGCTGTTTCTGTCGCGAAAGTTGGTGAGATCTATGAATCGCTGAATGAGGGCTCAGATCACCCACGACAGTTGCACTAGTTATTGTTGAACGACCCTGATTGCCATAGCGATTGGCTCAGGTTCGAATCCCGGAGAAGGTATGTGTCGCGAGCAACTCAACGATTGTATAAATGTAATTTATTTAAAGGTTAAGGGTGCTCATACACCTTAAACCCCTTGACACCCTTCGAATATGTGACTGTTGCAAGAATTGGGATATTTTATTTATTTTAAAATCAATTACTTCCAACTTTTTACAGCTGATTACATAAAATAGCTGCTTGGGAAACTAGTAACCAGAAAATTTCTGTTGCCACAGATATTTTTGTAATTTAATCCGCTTTGTGACAAATGTTTTTGCCACTTTTCCACCTTGCGCGCACGATATTTTAAAAATGGCTAATGGCACATACTTGAAATTTGACGGAATTCTTTATATGAGCCCTATTTTTTAACTGAACCTAAAATCTGATGAATATTTTAATATTAAAAAATTTTATGGACGAAAACATTACAGATTTTTTTAATAAAATGCATTTTATAAACTCGACTCCAAATAAAATAAAAATTTAACATGAAATTCTTAGACCTTTTGGTTCACAGTAGTTTTCAAATGTTATAAAAGCTATATATTAAATATGGAATTTAATTATGCAACAGAATGTTTTAAACGGTGCGCGCAAGGTGGAAACATGATGAAAACTTTTGTGACAAAGCGGATTAATTATAAAAATATTTGTGGCAACAGAAAAGTTTTGACTACTATTTCAGAAAGCAGCCATATTATGTAATAAGCTGTAAAAAGTTGGAAGTAATTGCTTTTAAAATAAGTAAGTTATCCCAATTCTTGCAACAGTCACATATTCGAAGATCTTATGGGTTTTAAGGTGTACGAGTTCCCCTTCAATTTTTACGGTTTGGCAACATTGTATCGTTTTTATGTTTTAGAATAAATAAAGTAAAAATGCACCATGACTTTGCATTAAGGTGGATTGACTGTTTTATAGTGATTTTGCATTAAGGTAGATTGCCTGTTTTATAGTGAATTAATTAAGGTGGATTGCCTGTTTTACAGTGAATAAATTGGGTGGATTGCTCGTATTACTGAATTATAATTTCTCTTTACGTTTCTTTTAATAGAGTACCGATTGAATGAACAAAACTCAGATAGAGTCTCGTAACAGTATGGTTGTATCTTTACGTCTGTTCATAGGAGGCAACGGTGGCCACCTTAGGTGCTTCCACAATGAAATGGCTACTACTTCCCTCCCTTGTAGTGGCGCAAGGCTGATGGTTATTAAATAAAACACCCGGCAATTTAAAAAATGTTTCTGCCTGATTTGTTCAATTAGAGAAACATCTGGTCTTTTTTTTTTTTTTTCCTTAACATGAACGGTATTAAAATGTTTCTCCTAACTTTTAAAAATTTCCCCTGAGTTCACAAATACATTGAAGAGTATGGTATAAAACAGTGTTTTTCAACCACCGGTCCGCAAGAAATATTTGCCGGTATGCAAAGTTGCCGGTTATTTTTGTCGTCATGATTTATTTATGTGAAAAAATTTTGGCAATGGGTCGAATTATTAAACTTATTACAGGTCCGCGAGAACGTACCGAAATATTTTACCGGTCCTTGGAGTAAATCCAGTTGAGAAACACTGGTATAAAAAACTTCTTTACATAAATTAATATATCGTCACATTACTTTTGACTCATTAGGATAAAGATATTCAAAACTGCAAACATTTTATTCTATTGAATTTTGAGAGAGATTTTCTTTTTTCTTAAACATATCATTTTTCCAGTAGGCCAAAAAGTTTAATGTGCGGTATAATTAGCTATAGTTTAGTTTCAGACATGTGGCAGTCTTTCTTTTGTTGTCGGTGTCTGTAACAGCTATGTCCGCAAGCGTGGAGAACGGTATTAATGAAATGAATATTGGAGATCAAGAAAAGGCATGAATACTTTATGATCATATTTTTATTTATGATTGCATTAAAATCTATCGATGATTTTTCTTTTCAAGCGCTTTCTGCCAATAAGAAAGGCGGTACATTTTTCATTTGGAGCACTTCGAATGGTTTGTAGGCAGAAAATTAATGTGAATGAATATGCAAAAAGTCTGTTTTTTGGCATTATATATATATTTATGTAATGCAGCTTTAATTTAGCTTTAATTTAGAAGAGCGATTTGTATGCGAGAAAGTGTATTTGTTTTACTTAATTTAATTTGCATGCTACCTGTAAAACCTATTAATTCCTTAAAACTTACTTCTGTAACTCGCTTAACCTGCTAACATCTTTGAAATTAGGTGCTTCTGCTGGCCTTAAAAGTAATTGATTTTTCATGCATTTCTTTGATGTTTCTGTGTTTAGAAGGCTTCTTGCTTGATGTGATGCAAATATAATTGTATGTTGCATCATTTTCCATTTTTTCTGCTTATAGTTTTGATTCTAGTTTATAAAATTTTATCAGATTATGTAATTACTATCCATTTTATTTTTGTGTTTCTAAATTTATATATATATATATATGTTTTGTGTATTGGCAATAGATTGAATGTCTCATAGGTAAATTTTTAATTTTCATCTTTCAGGTTTCACAATCAAAAACCTCCAAAATCACTGGAGAAGTAAGTTTTAATATCAATTATAACAGATTAATTAGTTAATAATATTTACAATGTAAATTTTTAATACTTGATGTAAAATGGTGAGGATGAATATAAATCTTCTGCTCTGCAATTTATTTAAATTTCTCGTATTTTAAAATAAAATAACTTGTATGCGATCTTGAAAGATTATTACACATCATCTGTCAAATATCATTATGCATATTCTTATGATCAGTTAAAAAAAGTGGGAAGGAATTTTTGGTAAAAGTATATTTACGTATACCCCTTGGCAAAAATTCGTGATTTTTGGTGGGACATGGATACCAAGTTTGTGCAATTCTTTAACTTGTTATTTTGGTGGCTGAAGTGCAGTATCGCCCACTTATATATAGGACTTATCGATGTGTAAGACAAAGTCAAGGGAGTGCACAATGCCAACTTTGTGCAATTCACTGATGTTTTTTAAGTGAAAATAGGTCAGTGTGTACATGAATACCGAGTCTTTGCAATTCTTTGACTTGTTATTTTTAAGTTGATGCAGAATCGCCCACTTATATGGGACGTATCGATGTGTATGTGGACAAAGTCAAGAGAGTGTGCAATGGAAGGTTTGTGCAACTCTCTGATTTTTTTTTAACTGAAAATAGGGGCTCTACTCTTATATGCGCCTTAAGATCACCAAATGTGGTGATATGTGTTCTACGCTGGTTTTTGGCATGATTATGTGCTGCGGGATGGTTTGGTAAACAATGCTGTTTGTATTGCAACCCTTTTGATGTTGAAACTTAGAGATGTGGTGGTAAGATTTCAGTCGCGTATTTTAGATTGTGTGAAAAGTAAATTTAGTATTAAAAGGTACGATGTTGGTGTTGTTAATGAGTCTTGTTCATGGGTGTGTTTATGTAGATAGAAGTGCATTTTTGACTTTTAAAACGGAGTTTGGTGTGTCCGAAATGCGGAGCTGATATGAGAAGTCGGACGAAAAATGGTGTTTCTGATACACTTGGATAGGTTTGCAGTCAAATGGTTGCTGCTAAAGTATGTGGCTGTCAGCGAAGTTTAAGATTTGGATTGTGGTTTTCGTGTAGTAAATTAAATTTGGTGGAAGTTTTTATCGTTACTTTCGAAATTTTGAATCACAGAAAGACATGTGATATAGCAAAATTGTGGCACTTTTGTTGACAGACGTGTGACTGGCAAAATTTTATTCACGTATGTACTATAGTAAGTGCATTTTATTTTATTGTTTTTATTTTGTAGAATGTTATGTTCATTGTTTTTTACTATGAATTTATGTTGTTATTTGAATTGTTTGTAGTTTATTTTAGTTTATTTTGTTGATTTGTGTGCAATGCCTAGATTGTGCAATTCGTAGATTTTTTTTTTTAAAGTTTAAACAGAATGCTGTGTACATGGTATTTGAAATTTATTGTTGTTATGTTAATTTATTAAAGAGAGATGTGCGTAGTTCATAGATTCTTTCGATGCTTAGATTGTGCAATTCGTAGATTTTTTTTTTTAAAGTTAAAACATATAGTTTACGTTTTTGCTACCTAAATTTTTTGTTTTTGTTTCGGATTTTTAGCTTAAATTGTGTGTTCAAAATGTGGTTTTTGCATGTGTGAAAACTGCGTTTTTGGAGACATTTTAGGCTTAAAGTTCAAAATGTAGACAAAAAATTTAGATAGTGATGTGGCACCGTGGAGTTTCTGGCCAAAAATGTTTGTCGAAATATTTGGCGACTTGAGGGCACATATAAGAATAGTTCCAAAATAGGTTGATGCGTATATGGATACTGAGTTTGTGAAATGATGGTTGATTATTATTGGCTTGGGGGTGGCATTGGTGGGACTTGTTATTTTCAAGTTGGTCGAGTTTGAGAAATGCACGAAGCAGTGGGTGATTCTGCAGTTTCCCCATTTTGACTTTGTGTAGCGGTGGCTTTAGCGCCAAAAATTGTCGCTACACAAAGACAAAATAATAAGTCAAAGATTTGCACAAACTCAGTATCCATGTACACATTGACCTATTTTCACTTAAAAAAAATCAGAGAATTGTACAAACTTGGCATTGTGCACTCCTTTTGTCCATGTACACATCGATATATTTTCACTTAAAAAGTCAAAGGAGCACCCAATTCTAGGTAGAAAGTATATTTACGGAACATTCAACTACTCAGGTTACCAGAAATGAAACAACAACTTGGCGATAAATGAAACAACTACTTAGCGATAAATAAAACAAGAACTTCATGATAATACAACAGGTACCTTTCAGTCTACTCTAAACAAATTTTTTAAATAGTTCTTTATTTCTTAAATGAGATATTCTAAAATTGCTGTGTTTCTAACCTAAATCAATTTAATTACATTATGAAGAACAATGAATGTTTCCGAAGTTCTAGAAATTTAAGTATGTTTTTTCAATTTCATCAATTTTCATTGCTATTACAATGCAGTTTTTTTAACATAATTCCCATTTAACCCCTTCCCGCCGGGTAGCGCAAATGCGCACTTATCGCGGAGCCTGGCAGTGTCTTACGCAAGCGTTTGTCCAGGGCCGGGGGCTTTTTTGCTACTAAGCCTAAATCCATGAAATTTCGGAAGTATCAACACATTATTTAATATTGTTCTATAGAGTATTTAAACGGCTTATGCTTTATAGATATTTTTTATACTATATACTTTAATTACCTTATTTCTTGTTTAAATGCATATTTTACACATTTTATTTTAATTACTCACCATTTTATGACTTTTAACATTATACATCTGAAAACTAAATATATTACTTAAAATTCTCTTTTCGCATGAAAAATTTTAAAACAGGGATCTACACACAGTCCTACGTTACATTCCTTGAACTCGTAATAACCCATATGCCGTTTTGGAGGATTTTTCCGGGAATGTGAACAAATGAAGCATCGTCGTCTCATTTTCTTATCAGTCTCTTCTGAACAAAGTTTTGGAAAATGTCTTTCAGTTAATCTTTCAGAATCAATATCTGAAATATTTTGCATCATTTCTGCTATTTCATGCTCTGTTAAACATTTTCGACGCTTCCACATTGCAACGGTAAAAACAGAAAGAATTCACGTCTAACAAGATCTAATTATTTTCTAAAAACTGAACTGCAAACCGAAATACCCAACGCTTTAGCGCAAATAAAACTTCTCTACTTACAGTAAACAACTACCACATGCGAATAAAGTGCAATTTAAAGAGACGTCATAAATCATGCCATTCGGAAACATTTATTTCCCCGTTTGTTTATATATTCAAAAACACGTGTAGGTGAGTCATGCTTCTCTCATTTCGAGTAGAAGGTCTAATGTACATGTATCTGAAACCATATGGACATACAGTGCCATCTTGTGGCAGAAATTATAGTTTTTCAAACGTTCTAGGACACTGGCACAAATACATGACAGTCGGTAGTGAACGGGAAAATGCTCTGGCACGCCTGCATGTCGGCCGGGAGGTGAGTGTGTTCGTTGCTGGCACGTAGACGTGACAGTCGGCGCGAAGCGGTTAACTGAATGTACATATCCCAACAAAAAACTTATTATGTTAAGCTGTCCTCAGAGAACATTTTCAATATCTGCTCAATCCACCTATTTATTCCATGGTTTAACTCTGAAATTGCAACTATTGTTATATACACCCTTGCTTGGCGAAACTCCACGGTGTCATATTACTATCTAAATTTTTTGTTTACATTTCGAACTTAAGCCTAAAATGTCTCCAAAAATGCGGTTTTCGCACATGCAAAAACCACGTTTTGAACACACAATTTAAGCTAAAAATACAAAACAAAAATACAAAAATACAAAAATTTAGGTTTAACAAAAAAATATGTAAGTTTTTTAATACGTAAAAAAATCCATAACACGGTAAAAAAAATCCATTAAACAAGTAAAACACAGCGGTATGTTTTAACTTTAAAAAATATCTACGGATTGCACAATCTAGGCTGCGAAAGAATCTATGAACTATGCTCACCTCGCTTTAATAAATTAACATAACAGTAAATTTCAAAGAATACCATGTACATAGCATCCTGTTTAAACTTTTAAAAAAACAACATCTACGAATTGCACAATCTATTCATTACGCACAAATCAACAAAATAAACTAAAATTACAATCAATTCAAAAAGCAACAATAACAACAGAAATTCATAGTAAAAAAACAATGAACATAACATTCTACAATATTGAAACAGTAAAATAAAATGTACTTACCATAATACATTCGTTAGTAAAATTTTGCCAGTTACTCAATGTCTGTGAACAAAAGTGCCACGGTTTTGCTATATCACATGTCTTTATGCGATTCGAAATTTTGAAAGTAACGCTAAAAATTTCCTCCAAAGTTAACTTACTACACAATAACCACGATCCAAATCTTAAACTCCGCTCACAGCCACATACTTTACCAGCAAGCATTTGACTGCAAATCCACACAAGAACTATCAGAAACGCCCTTCTTCATCCGAGTTCTCATAGAAGCTCCGCATTTCAGACTCCGTTTTAAAAGCCCCGCAGAAATCCCAGAAATACACTCCAATCCTCATAAACACACCCGTGAACAAAAGACTCATTAACAACTCCAACATCGTACCTTTGAATACTAAATTTACTTTCCACACAATCTAAAATACGCAACTGAAATCTTACCACCACGTCTATCATTGCAACATAGGCCATTTCAAAACACACACAACACTAACCAATGAGCAATTAAACCACTGCAGCAAAAGAGTTAAGTTTCAATGTCGAAAGGTTTGCCATACAAACAACATCGTCCCCCAAACCACCGCATGGCTCTGCAATCATGCTGTTGTGAAACTGATTAGTTGTATCTAACAAATATTAAAAACAAATCTCTTCATTTTGATGTACGAGACACAGATGGCGTTGGCTGTCATTGAAGTAGGAAGAAAAAAAGGGTTTTTCCCTTTCGACCTCGTGACGTGAACTGATTAAGATGTGTAATAACTTTCGGGGCCAGAAAAAT